AACAGGAGTGTGGTGCTGGGGGGCTGGTGGGGGACAGAGTTAGGAGGAGCTGAAAGCGCTGGTTGGCCAACAAAGGAGGAGGTAAGCCAGTGTGCCCATACTGGAAAACATCTATCTAACCTTTCCTTCCTAATGAAGCCTGACAGAAACCCACAATATTTGACGCAATGGAACCCAACGAACCAGAAAAAAACCCCAAAAAAACCCAGTGCCGTTGAGTGGATTTCGACTCACAGTGAACCCCGTGAGGAATTGGAATAATCTCCTTATGTTCTATGTGGGTCAACAGAATTAAGCTTTATGTCATTGTAATTTCTACTTTGTGTTTCAAAAAAAGACCATACAGAAAATATAAAAACCAGAGGGACTTTATTTTAGGAAATTATTTTAGTCTCTTTTAGGTTCTATTTTAAGACCAAGGTACTTAAAATAAGATTCAAGGGTAAGATAATGATTACAAGACATGCTAAGAATGGCAAATTATTGTTATTTTTAAAACAGTGCAGTCCCACATATTTTTTTTCTGTCATTTTTTAAACCCATGAGAATTTTAAGAGAAATCAAATCCACCTAGTTCTGACTCATTCACACCTATTACTCAAAATATGTTCTTTTACATGAATCACTGAATGTCCAAGAAATCTTTCTTTCTTAGAGAGGGACACCCATTAGGAGCCAGAATCTACTTTAAACAGACTTAAGTTAAACTCGATATGCTAAACCTGGAGTGCCTAAAAAATCCCAGAGGGGTGGAGATTAGTCCTTGTGTATCCTTTAAACATGGCTTGGTTTTATGCTGGGATAATAGAGCCTGCCAGAGCTAATTAGGTTCCTGCTCAATCCAAGAATATGACAAGGCCCTGACACATCTACTTAAAACCCCTATAAAATGAAACTTCATATCTACCAATCTAGTTTCCCCACATCTAATATTTTATTTTTGAGTTTCTGGCCTAAAGCTGTTGGGAATTCTGCAGAGTTATCAATTTTCAGAAAGAAATGGTACAAAAAGTTTCACTTCCTGAGAGACATAGCTAAGAATGGTAAGAGACATTCCCAGGGCACTGCCTTAGCTGACTGTGACCTCCCTCTGATGTGTGTGTGTGTCCACAAATAAATGAAAGGGAAAAATGGGAACCTCAGTTAAATTAAAGGACAAAGAAGGCCCAGTTTTACACAGTCAGACCGAGCAGGAACTGGCAAGAAGCCATGTTTTCAGGGGCAATTTGGCTTTGACATCAGTTATCTATAAGCTGTAAAAACTTGTGGGAATAAAACAAACGAGCAAAAACAGAAAATGAACAAGAAATTTCTGAATTCCTCCAAAGGAGGAATTGCAACACCATGAAGTGATAAGAAAAAAAATCCTCACAGCCGTTAAACTCCTAAGCACTTAATTCTGCATAATTTTTCATAAAGACAAATCTCATGATTAACTTTTAGAGCTGAGTAGTAACTACCCAGGCAGTCCATCCAAGACTTTTATCAGGCTCAAACTTAAGAACAGAGAGTTTAGTTTTTAAAACTACCCGAGGCAGCAGGGCAATGTATAAATTGGACAAGAAGGACCTCCTCCATTAACTGAGAGTTTTCAAGTTCCACCTACCACTTGTACTGAAAGAGTTGCTTGGGTATTCTTGAACCAGTACTCCTAGCTTCAACATGAACATTTAGCAAAAAGTTGAACACTGTATGCTCTACTTCCCCACTGGCCAGGGTGGTTGTCAGGGGCTCTACAACTTAGCCTTAGCTCCTTGGTATGTATTATCCAAAGAAATCACTACTGCTTGCTATGCAGTCTTGTTTTTCTCTTAGCCAAGTGCTAGAATACCAAAAGATTCATTTAAAAAGGTAGGCCTCCTCTTGAGTGGGCAATATTTATAATTTTGATCACTAGGGGTTTGAAATTCATTCTAATAATAGAATTTCTAACAGAACACATACATATTGGAACACATTAACAACTACGAGGAGAAGCAGTAATTTACGCCTGCCATTTTCTACCCACATGCTGAAAAGAAACACTGACAGCACCACCCATCACTAGCCTTCTGAGTATCTCTGCACCTATTGTTATAACTTCTCACTTAGCTATGGGCCACAAGGTGAGATGATTCAACATGCTCAAACCTTAACTCTGTCTAATCCCAAACCAGCTCTTCCTGGTTTTTACTGCTGAATAGTGACCATCCATCTCATTACCCTAGTCACACTCCTTTCTCCTTCTCACACTGCTATATTCAGCTGGTCACCAAGTCCTACTGATCTGTCACTAGCTTATCAGTTCTCCGCTCTCCATCACTACTTCTACTGCCTCAGTTCAGGAACTCTGTATCTCTTGCCCAGATACTAAAATATCTGCTATCTAGTCTCCTTTCTTCTAGGTCAGTCCTTCACGAATTCCTCTTCTACGCTGCCTCTTGAGCTAGTTCCCAAAATACGAGCCTTGTCAACAATGAAATCATAAACATTTGGAAAAAACATAGGTGAATATTATCATAATCTTGGAGTGTAAAAGGCTTTTCTATGTATGACATAAAACCTAAAAGACATAAATAACCCATTCCCCTTGAGCCGATTCCAACTCATAGTGACCCTTACAGGACACAGCAGAACTGCCCCATAGGGTTTCCAATCTTTACGGAAGCAGAATGCAACATCTTTCTCCTGCAGAGTGGCTGGAGGGTTTGAACTGCTGACCTTTTGGTTAGCAGCTGAGTGCTTCAACACTGTGCCACTAGGGCTCCTGAAATGCAGACTAAGATCTCTAAAAAAATCAAAACCAATGGCCATCGTCATGGTGACCCCACGTGTGTCAGAGTAGAACTGCTCCCCCAGGGTTTCCAAGGCTGTCATCTTTACGGAAACAGATTACTCATTTTTCTTTCATGGAGCCACTGGGTTGGTTCGAAGTGTCAACCTTTTGGTTAGCAGCCAAGTGCTTAACCACCGTGCTACCAGGGCTTCTTAAAATACATAAATATGGTTAGTTAAATAATATTTTGTAATATAAAGAAAACTATAATCAAAGATCAAAGTCAAATAACTGGGCAAAATATCTGTAACATATATGGTGGGGGAAAATGCTAATTTCCTTAACATACAGAGTTTTTACAACTCAATTTAAAAGAATTTCTGTAAAGTTAAAACAATATCTTCAGTCCACTCCTTGGCCACACAGGGAGACAAAAAGCTAATGTAAATAATTACAAAGCTGTGAGGAGGGCACAAAGTATCTTATAAAGATTAGGTATAGAAAAATTGGTTAAATATCACTGTTCTCAAACCTGATCCAAATGCTCTGCCTGAGCACATCAACACTGAGAAAGATACATTTAGGCAGTTCAGAAATGCCTCTGAACTCCCTTGTTTATGCCTTTGGAACACAGAGGGCACATATTTTCTCAGAACAAATCATTCCCTGTAAAACTGGAAAGGCCTTTTTGCCTGCCTTACTGATGTTTCAGCTTTGAGCCAGAAGGTTAAGAGTCTTTAGGAACATTTTTGAAAACACACAACATGAAACCCTATTATTCCATTAGCATCTGCCTGAGTTAGCAGGCCAGAGGAAATGTCCATCAGATGAAACTGACTGGCTTTTCCATTTTGATCTGAACTAAGTGATCAAATAATATCCCTTGGCAAGAAGGTAGAGGACTGGCAGTGTGCAAAACTGACATTGCTGATGTAACTGTCACGAAGACACTTATTCCACCTAGGCACTCCATCACTCAGAAGTAATGTACCAACATTCTAAATGCAAATAGCACAGATTACTCATTTTTCAAACAAAAGTTCATATGAGATGGAAAATCTACTACACCCGTAAGAAGAGAGAAATTTTGTTAGAATAATTCAAGGTGCTGATACAGCTTTTAACATGAATTGGAACACAGGCCAATTTACCTACTGCAAGACTACAAAGGAATCTGGGGCAAAAGCCCTAGGTGGTGTTAGTGTCCATGTGCCAAAAACAGAATTTTAAAAGGGAAGCTTAGACTAATGACTGGAATGTATTCATGAGTAAATTTATGGGAAATGAAAGGACTTAAACCCAGCCAAAGAGTATTGGGAATTAGAAAACTTAACCAATTATTCTCGAACCTTTAAAATGTAGGGCTGTATTGAGAGATGTAGGCATCAGAATACCATCATTACGGGAAGACAGCTAGCACCTGAATACATTACTTTCTCGTTACAACTACGTTTAGTTCGTGAGCACTTACAATGATGTTGACACTTCTGCATTAGAAATGCATCCAATTTTCTAAACAGCTTTAAAAAAAAAAAAAATAGTTGGATTTTAAAATTTCTGGCATGTGCAATGAATTTGCAGAAATTCAAGCCTTGACCAATGGTTTCTTAAGACCCATTTGATTCTATCATTTGCCTCTGGTGAAATTAATGAAATATTCTCCCAATAAATCTAGAGGCATAGAAAGAACTGTTCATTATCCTGGTGGAAATGGGCTCAAAGATTTTTGGAAATGAGATCACATATTGAGGACACTCAAGTGAGTGTACAATGTGATCGTTTAGACAATGTACCTGCTGGCAAGCGGCAATCAGCCTAGAACAAGCCTAAGTGAGCTCAACTTAAGCAAGCATACAACAAGCCAGGAGAACCACTAGGCCTCCTTCCCTTTCGACCTGAGAAAAAGGGCCGTGATTTATTTAAAGTAACGAGTGCCAGGAAACACTGCAATGTTGCTATTCCTTGGAGGGCATTATATACAGACATAAACTATAGGTCACAAGGATGGAATAAACATTACTAACACCTACCTACCTCGACTTTGTCTTTGGCAGACCAAACCAGAGATTGGGCTGTTGGCCACATGGGCAGTTCATGTGAGACCCAACAGTTTCTACGCTAAATTAATAAACAAAAAGCAAAGAGAACAAAACCCACCTTAAAATTAATGTGATTATTTTTCTCTCCCTCAAGCCCCCCGTTTTTAAAAATACCCACTTCAGAATAAACAAAAGTGGAGACTCACTCTGGGAAGCATAGTGCCCCTCTGCAGCTTTGTCTTCATGCCCGTTGTACTCCCTGCTGGACAGCTGCCTGTTGGCGGTCTCCAGTCGATCTACACATTAATGGGAAATGGTTAAAAATAAATACATATGGATTTAAATCATCATCTAACTGAGAAATGAAATGGGTGCCAAGAGCTGGGTATGAAGAGATACTCAGGGAACAGTCAAAGTCTGAACAGCTCTGAGGGAGGAGCAATACCCACACTCCAAGATACCAAAAGAAAAGTCTTCAGAAGCCACATTGGTGTCTTTATGCAATCTCATGCCAACAGGCAGCAAAGACATGTTCTGAGAAAAACCACTTCACTGCTTGCAAGGCCAGCAAACCCCCCATGTGAAGTCCTCACAAGGAGGTTATGTTTTCTTGGCCTCAAACCCAGCCCTGTAGCATAACCTTGACCATCAGCCCTATATTTTAACCACTGACTGTTATCTATAGTCTCAGAACAACAACAACAAAAATCAGAACAGCAATTAACTACCCATGCCAAAAGGAGTGCAACAACAGAAAAGGGAGGATCTAGCTACCAGGGACTACCAATACATTGACTGTTCTGATGATACATGAGGCAACTGGAAAATGCTGTGACCGACTGAAAGTGAAGTGAAATTTAACGCGTTAAATCATCTTGCACTTTGGGGTTTGCCAAGATATTGCAGCAGGTGGCCTCCATCTTTCAGGGAGTATATACGTCTACTCTTTTCATAACTGTGAGCCTTTTTTCCTTCTTGAAGGAAAAATGTATGTCAAGCTCTGTCTTCTATACTATACCTAGCAAGTGTTACGCATTGGCTTTCAAAGAATGCTACCAAATGACTCGGATCGTCATCCAACATTGGTCTTTTTCAAATGTTCCCATTCACCTGGTCACAGGTCACTGTTAAGTACTTTTAAAGCAAGAACAAGCTGCACACGTGCTCCGTCCGTTTCATGGACTCATGCACACAGGTGTCACTTCTAAGACTTAATGCTGCCACCTGCAAGCTGCAAGGCAGCAAAGAACAATTCTACTCTTTGAGGACCACCCCTCCCCCCACCCTGGATGGAATTTACAAGATTATCTAGCACAGAATAGCACCTGCAGCAAAGCAATTTGGCCCTGAAATCAGGCAGCTGGCCACATGGGTGGTTCGGGGAGAGAAACGTGAATCAAACTTGACATGCCTCGGAGGTCTCTGTTGAAGTCGTGAAGTCTTCTAATCTCGCCTTCCAATTTGTTTCTCATAGCCTTGTCCAGCGACTCTCGCTTGCTTGTAGATTTGACCAGATTCTCATAGGCTTCTGAAATTCTCTGAAGTTCTTTTTCAAACTAAAAGAAAGATCTGGCATTAAAGTGGGACTTTTGACATTCACATTGGACATCTTAATATCACTCATTCTTTGATATTCCAGGTATCAACGTAGCCTTTCTGCATCTTAAATTTCATCTCTACCAAACTGTGTAATCAATTTCACTCCCCCCTTCTTCCTCTAAGGGCCACCTTGAAACCAAAATAAACCAAACTAGTTGCCATTGAGTGGACTCCGACTCATGGCAAATGCATGTGTTACAGAGTAGAACTGTTTCATAGGCTTTTCTTTGTAGAAGCAGATCACCAGGCCTTTGGGGTGCCGCTGCATGGGTTTGAATTGCCAACCTTTAGGTTTGTAGTCAAGCACAAACCTTTTGGGCCACCCCAGGACCTTAAGGGCTACCAGATGATCCTGTAAGTAACAAACTCACAATCTGGCCAGACTGTCTGATGGCACCTTGTAGAAGTCCCTCTGTACAAATATCTGGTAGGGGTGAACATAAATAAACATAACTTAAACTCTTATATTTCATATGGCAATTTATAACTATTATTATTATTTCCAGTTATCCTAAGGAAAAGTTAAAATAGACAAAAATTAAAGGACTACAACTAGATTCCAAACTCCAGACTCCAAATACAGTGCTCTTTCCAGGGACTTTCCTACCCATCCCTAAAGGAATATAAAATCCACTTGAAGAGAGGCTACATTACTTACTGTTTTTAACCCTTTATCTATGAAATGATCCCTATAAAGCACTAATGAACTTGTATTTAACTGTAAACAAGTGTACCGTAGGAAGCCTCTTTATATACAGGAATTGGTAGATACATGACTAAAACTTTTTTTCCCTCTTATTTCACTACGTCGAGAACTGTGATTGGGGATCCTTTAATCTATGGCATATATAAATCTGTAACAAGTAGCTGTAACTTTTACAGCAGGAGTCTAATTGTGTTTCCGAAGTAGATATCATAGATCATATTGTATTGTGTGTAACATCAATGCAGGAGACCTGGTGGAGAGTGCCTGCAAACATGGAACCATGATGAGTTGCTGCTAAAAGTCGGATCAGATGCAAAGCTTACAGGGTTGAGAGCATTAGCACCCCTCACTATGGGCACCAAGAGATTTGTACCAGGTTTTGGGTCCCTCCACAGAAAAGCTGTGTCACTATGAGGCAGGCACCCTGTTTTCTGAAGCCCAAATGGCCAGATCAGAAAGTCAGTATCTCTCAGTATCGAGCTGGCCAGACACATACACTTCTAAATGCAACATCATAAGAGGTGCAGTGGTGAAACGGTAGGATGGCCTAGGGATAAAGTAATTTTGCAGGTGCAGGGAAGGGGTTTCTTTAAAAAAAGACTGTAGAGAAAGAGAGATTTTAAAAAAATGTCTTGAAGGATGAACAGAAATTTGTCAGGAAAGGGAAAAAAAAAAAAAAAGCCAAAGGGTATTCTAGATTCTAGATAGAAGATATAACATGAACCAAACCACAAAGCTATGAAAGTATGTGCATGTCTTTGACATGACATGTAATCCAAGGGATCAGAGCAAGGTGGAAGTGGCAGGAGCTAGGGCCAAAAGTAAGGTCTGTATGTTATGAGGCAAAGAAGAATTATGGAGGAAGGCAGTGGTTGAAGGGATTGGGTTATAAGCAGAAGGCCAGCATGATCATATCTGTGTTTTTATAGGGATGAAACTCAAGGATGGGGTTGGAGGGCAGGGAGCAGGGAAAGAAAGTAGGAGAAAATAAGACCAAGTAAGATGCTAATGTAAGTAGTTCAATGACAGATGGAAGAGTGTGAACTAGGATGACTAAAGGGACAAATTCCAAAGACACTGAAGAGTAGAATCAATAGGTCTTGGTGACTAAGTCTGGATGGCCAGGGAGAGAGAAATCAAAAACAATATAGACATTCATAGTTTATAAGATTGGGTAATAAGACCTAACCAAGATAAATGATTATAAGAAAAACAGGTCTTCCAAAGAAAGAATACCAGTCTGGTTTTGGAGATACTGTGCCTAAGGAGCCTGCAGAACATCATGGCAAACATTTCCAGTTGGCAGTTGGAGATACGGGTCTGAAAGTTAGGAGAGCAGCTGTGGTGTCATCGGCGTTCAGAGGACAGATGGAGTCATAAAGTGGAGACCACTTAGGGAATTCAACAGAGGACTGATGGGCCAAGAAGGAGAAGCATTAACACCAAGGGAGTGGGTGGGGTGGACTAACAAGAGAGACTGCAGGGCTATAAGCAAGCAGGGTCATCGGAGCCAGGAAGCCAAAAGCTTAAAGGAGGATAGGGAAGGTGGTCAGTATCCCCAGAGGTTACAGTGGAGCTAAGACTGATAAAATCTGAGAAAAGGTCAGTGAAGAGGCTGGAGAGCGCTGAGGTTTCTGCTTAGCTGCAGCCAACAGGGTGGAACCAAGGTTACCAAGGCTCCTTTCGGTACCATGTTATTTTCCCAAAAGCCTCCTTAAACCAGAGTTGGCTCTTCCATGTTCCCTTCATTTCAATGAGGCTTTTCTGTTTCTTTCAGAGATATCATGAATTGTTGGTAATGTGGCAGAAGAGAGAACATGTCCTGAACGTTGTTCTGAGTTCTACCACAAATTATGTTACTTCCTTTTAATTTTGTTTTCAAAAGAGATAGCTCCAAGACACACTACCACTTGTAGGCTAAAATCACCTATAAAAGGTGGCCTTTGTTTTCAGACAGATGGGCATATTGAAAGGAGATCTCCTTCAAGGTCAAAGGGCATCACCCAGCTGCTAATGAAAGAAAGTACCATCAAGCCTGAGGCAGTCCACAGCTGGTACCCAAGAGTGGTACACATTCTTCCAGCCCAGGACAACTTCTTAACTACACCACCCTCAGGAACCTTTCCTTTATCTGTTTTTATAGTACTATTAGCTGTTGTATTCATCCGAATGGAATTCTGGTGTGCATGTGCATTTTGTCTCTGATTTGACTGTTAATTTCATGAGGGCAGAAGAAGCCCCTGCAGCCTAGAACTGTGCCCTGCCCATGACAAAAATACTGACCATATAATAATATTATATTTATAACTCCTAAAGAAAGACTTGGGCACTGATAGTCTGTACTTGATTCACTAATAGAGCTTCCCTCTATATACTATAAATGGAAACTGCAAGATTCCTACGATAGCTTAGTTTACTGTCTCAAATGCTAAAACAGTCAAGAATCAGGATAGGGTTATGTGCTTAAAAGGTAACAAGAGAGAAAGGTCATGGGCCTTAGTTCAGGACAAGGTCTTTCCTGTGAGAAGTGACAGCTGTGATGGTAGAGAGGGATTCACCCCTTCACTGTGGTTGTAGAGGACAGAACAAAGACTAAATGCAGGAATATAAAGAGATACAGACTTTGATTCAACATAAGGAAGAACTTCCTAACTACATTTTCCAGAAGAGTAGTAGTACACAGTAGGTAGTGAGCCTCTCTTCTCTAGAAGTATTCAAGCAAAAACTGAATGACCTCTTTTCAGGGACATGAAGCAAGGATTCCAGGCATGAGAAGTTGGACTAGAATCATTTTAAGAATTTTACATCTAAAGCTCTATGATTCCTGATCACACACTCCTTCAGAGCAAGAATCACACCTTTTTTATATCCCCCATGTCTCGAACATATTCAGCACCCACGGATGTTCATGAAAGATGAAGAGAAGGTTGGACAGCCTGGCTTTGATATAAAAATCCCCTAGGTCAGTTCAGACTCTACCTGCGATTGTAGGGAGAGAAACTGGGTTTGCTCTCACAGCTCCCACCTCTTTCCAGCCCAGGTGTCAGGAAGCTCTCAGTCTAGGCCATAAATCAGTAAACCAGTTGCTGTCGAGCTGACTCTGACTCATTCATGGTCACCCTGAAATCACACAGAGAAGTGCTCCATGTCCCAGAAACAGAGGAGAAAGCCCTGCACAGCTGTTGCCATAAAGCCCTGAGAAAATCTCAGCCGTTCCAAGCTCTTTTCCCCTGGGCATCTTCTTGTGCACAGCTCAGGGGCTTACAGGACCAAAGACAGGTCTGCTGTCCAAGCCACAGACTCCCCAATCAAAGTCTGGGCGATTGTAAACGCTTGGCCCTTTTCCTTCAGATGCCCATCTATGCTCTAATGGCTTCTGAGGCCAACCTACTCAACAGCCCACAGTCCGCTCCTGGTGGAAACTCTGTCTATTAATTATGTTTCAGAGAAACTGGGAGAAAAGAGAAGCAAAATGAGTAACCAAAAAGAAATAATGAACAATGACAGCTCTTTCTGGGGGTCCTCAACCATCATTCCAACACTAACAGGGATAATCACTACCTTTTGCCTCTTTGGAAGCAGGGTCTTCATAGCTAGGCTGGGTTCCTGGCACCGTCTGCATAGGCTAAGCTATGCAATTAAAAATTCATCTATTTTTGGTTCTGCCCTTACAATGAATCTCCGCAAGAGCCAAAGCGCTCTTAATACTGTTAAGATCTCAGATCAGTTGATACTGCCAGCACAGTATAATCACATCCTCCAATGGAGTACAGTGAGTCCACCTAAAGCAAGGGGCCAACTCCATGCCAGGGGAACTATTAGCTATTGTCATTGAAAAGCAAAGCTGTCAACCCATTTGACTGTACTCTCCCCAGATCTACGGCTTAAGCAGTTGCTAAGAGACACCTGAGCAGTGAGGCCAATGGTATGAGAAGATCTATGACTGGGATGACCTGGGGAACACAAGCCACAGAACGTTACGCCAAAGATTTCAGGTAGCTCTTCTATGTCTTCTATGTCTTGAGCACAGCTCAAGAACTAGTGAAGTATTTGTCAAAATCTGAGATTTTAAGTTGATAATTACATTTTGACATACGACAGATCAATGAAACGTAGTATTTATAAAACCATTTATAACAGTCAAGGGGGTGAAGGAATTTTTGATTTTTCTTTTTTCAGTAGTCATCAAAATCCTTTTGGAAACAAATTTTAAGAATCATCCCCTGTGCAGGGAAACCGGGTCCTTGGGAGATTTAAGTAATTTTGTTTTGCAAAATAGAAATGTGCATCAATATCAAGCAAGATATGTATGTTACATGTCGATTAAAAGTATACATTCACAAAAAAGTCAATCACAAATAACATCCTCGTAAAAAGACCCAGAACCAAGCTCTGCCCTCAGATCGCTCTGTGCAGCTCCTGGACACATCTGCCATAGAGCTTCATTAGGGTAGAAGGAAATATTTGTTTCCCAGGAAGTGCTGAGCCGGCCTTCCCCAATGTTCAGACCATATCCAGAAAGAAGCTGCTGCAGGGAGGTGTCAGAGGCAAGCTTGGGCCTGAGCACTGACTTACAGGCCCACAGGGAGACAACACACTGTTTCCCAATTTCTAAGGGTGTGAACGGGTGTGGGACTGCAATCTTCAGGCAGCCCCTGTTTGTTTCTGGCTTTCATTTTTGATCCCACCAATCAAGGCAGCCAGAGCTCTCTGAGCCAAGTCTGAGCTTGACACTCCAGGAGCTCCAGACACTTTCAGTGGAAGCTCCGCAGGCACATACTGGGATAGATTCCATCTGTGAACGTTGGCACCATCAAACCCACTGCTTCCAGCTTTTTGCTGCCAGCCCTAAGGAAATAAGAGGAGCTTACTCTGAAACCTTTACCAGACTCGACTTCTTTACCTGCGAATTGTGAAATCCGTACTAAATAGCGAACACCGTGTGGGCCAGCCAGGCACATTAACTGTCATATGGAGCTGAAGTGACAATGCTCCTGTACTCAGGTAGGGTTTATATTCCTACCTTTCTCTTTACCAAAGCCCTGTATTGCCCAGGACAGAGCCAGGCACTCAGACAGTCCCTTACAAGCGCACTGACTATCACACATGCCTCCTCGCCCCTAGAAAGGAAACGCAAGGGCCCTGTGGCTCTCCTGCCCTTTAACACGGCTGTCTCCTCATTCTACCTGCAGATCAGATGCTGACATATGGTCAGCATCAAATCACTGCATGGTAATAGTTACTCTTGCTGACTGGTTTTGTACTTACTTTGACTCTTAGCATGAAGCCCTAAGAATGAGGGCTGCCATACATTCTAATATTCCCATGGTGACTACAAAGGCTGGAATTACTCAGCATCTCCCCATCTGATAAACCACAAGGATAAGGAAAGCATGCATGCAACAACACGATACTCTGACCCTCTAGTGTGGGGGCAACATTGCCTTTTGCAGAGATCAGCTAATGAAATAAACATGGCTACCACAAGGTTGCTGTCTGAGATTCCCAGATTTAAAGGAAAAATCCATCTCCCTCAACCTCCCTGTGTTACTCTTGGTATTCCGGGAGGGCCCTCACCACACCTGTCCAGCTGGGGAAATTCTACTTAGCCCTTGAGTTTCATGTCAAGGGCCACCTCCACTGTATCTACTGTAGCCCCTTCACATTCCTACTGCATGTATTGGCTTATGCATCTCTTTCTCCTTCTAGATAGCAAGCTCCTCCCATGCAGGTACTGTGTTGTATTTATTTTTGCCTCCCTAAAGACTTATACACTGCCTGGCATACAAAGGGGTCTATTTAACTGTTGGTGAGTCAGTCAGTCAGTGACTCAACCCCCCATGAGCAGGTAAAGAGTCTGTTCCTTCCAAAGAACTTTCTTCCTCCCCTTCCCCATGAAGTCCATACCTTGTGGAGCTTGTCAGCATTGTCATAGTATCCCTGAAGTTCCTGGTGAAGCACCCGGTTCTCCTCTGTTAGTATCTCCACCATTTGCTGGGCTCGTTCCACAATCACAAATGCATCTGGGCCAAGCTGCTGGCTGGGGGATGCAGCAGGCGGCGGCTGTGGGGCTGCCAGAGTCATCGGAAGGGGAAGCGGTAAGGAGACAGAGTGCAGCGGCCCACTGACGGAGGGGGTCTGGGAGGACATTGGGCTGTGCTGCTGCACTGTTGACGGGAAAGGAAGTTGGCATGGGCGGCTGTAAGGGAAAGGAAGACCATTAATGAGAAGCCAGGGAAGATGGTGGAAGTAGGAAGGAAGCTCTAACAATATACGCTCTATCAGGCTCCCACTATCAGTGGTGATCAATGCACTTTCAAATGCTAGGTGGAGTACATAAGGTTCAATCACTCATTCCACAGTATTTTCTGTGTTCTGGACACTGGGGATATAGGAACAAGACAGACAAGGTCCCTACTTTCATGAAGCTTACATTCTAGAGGAGAAAGGCAAGCCATCCACCAATAAACAAACAAAGCATCGAAAGTAATCGTACTTTGCAAATAAAAAAGTGGAGTGATGTGATAGTGAATGTCTGAGTGTAGCTATTTCATATTGAGAAGTCAGGGAGGGAGACTCTGGGAAGCTGATGCATGTTCTCAAGTCTGAATGACAGACAAGAAAGAACCAGTGGTTTGTGGGGATATTGGGTGAGGGAGGTGGGGAAGGGAGTTTTCCAAGAAAGGAATAATTCCTACAGGCAGGAAATGGAAACTCATGGTTTCAAATATAAGAGGTAGTACAAAAGTCTAAGGTAGGAATTAACAGTGGCACAATCAAGGAGAAGAGAGAAAGCTGGTATGAAGCATGGCAAGCAAATAAGAGCAGTACAAGATAAGTCCAGAGAGATGAGCAAGGGTCTTTGTAAGATAAGGACAGACTCCCTAGACTATAAACAGTGGCCAGTGGAGGATAACTAAGCATGAGTGCAGTGTCTTACCCCGAGTGGTATGGAATGTACAGTGGCAAGAATGGATGCAGGGAGACCAGTGAGAAGGCCATTATGTCATCTAGGTGAGAACTGATGAAGGCTCACAGGGTAGCAGCAGTACAGAAATAATGAATGGACATGTGATATGCTTTGGATATATCACTAATGCAGAGACATAAAGAGAGGAAAAGAAAAAATTTCTCCTAGATTTTGCTCTCTACGCAAATGGACAGTGGTACCATGTAATGAAATAGGAAAGTCTTACAGGGAGGAACTGATTCTTTGTATTTTGTTTTGCTGAGGTTAGGGAGGTGTAGAAGGATCAAAAGCCTGATCTTAGCCATGATAAAAAGTACACATAGAGGCAGCCACTGATGGTTCAAATTGCTGGTACTAGCTCCTGTACCTGAAACCATGAATTTCTATCTCCTGTCTCTACTCCTTAACAATTCCGTCCTCAATATTCTATTAACCTATTTCTTTAACAACATTGCCATTTTCTTTCAACCTAAACCAGGACTCCTACAACAACCTGTACAGGTATAAACAGCAAAGATAATCTTGATGTCTAGTTCTCCAACCATACCTGTCTCTCTCCTGTACAGACTTGGGAAAACTAGTTTTCTTGCTGACTCTCCTAAACCTTTAGGTCTCAATCTGGGAACTGGGAGTTAGGTGCTAAAAATTAGGAGTAACCTCAAAATCATCAACCCTTTGTATCAAAGGGCTGTGTCTTTTGGAGATACAGATATTACTAATCAGCAGACATCCATCCCCACCTCCTATAGTGTCCCTTCACACATCCAATGCAAGGGATAGACATGGCATGTCTCCTAGGGGCTGGAGGGTACAGAGGAATCTGCAGCTCTGCTCCCTGAAGCACCAGGAGTTCACTCAGACCCCACCACTCTGGGATGGGATTTCCATCTTATAACATTTAATTCTGGGACTTGGGACTAACTTATGGCCAATGATAGGTTTATCTTCTCAGTCACCTTTGCTATGTAACAATTAAGAAGAGAAAGTAGAAATAAGGTAATACTATTTTCTTAGCACCAGCCTAAGTCATCAGTGATGGTGACTAGTTACCTGAGTGCGGCAGTTCTACTCTGTCCTGTGTTGCTATGAGTCTGAATCAACTCAGTGGCAACGGGTTTGGTTTTTGGTTTAGTTACCTGAATAACCATGCAGAGAAAGGGTGACAGACAAGCTTAAGAGACAAAGAAGAGCTGACTTTCAAAATGGAAAATCTACCAAACCAGAGAGCATTGCCCTCACAAATAACTCGGTCACACATTCATGCTCAATTAACACCACGTGAGAATGGATGGCATGCAGGCCAACCAGGGTTGGTGGGCTCAAAGATCTTTTGAATTCCCTTCTACTTTCAAGACTTTGACTATGAGAAAATGCACAAGGCAGATTTGGGCTTAGTGTAAATGAGGGGAAAAGTGAGTGTCAGGAGAGAATAGCAAAACTTCACACTAGAGTTTTCTAGCAATGCAATGCAAAACCAGAGCTTGGTTTCAAGATATTGTCAGTGTACTCTTTGACATATGTTCTCACAGAAGCTGAAAAGACAAGGATAGAGAAAGAAAGCCTTCCCCTAGAGCCAGCACACTGAATTTGGACTTCTGGCCTCCTAAACTGTGAGAAAATAAATTTGTTCGCTAAAGCCATCCATTTGTGGTATTTACGTTACAGCAGCACTAGATAACTAAGACAATATTTAACAAGGAAAAAAATCAGTGGTTAAATAGACAAAGAATGTGATCAAGTAAATCACAAGAGAAAATGCAAGTGGCTAGTACACATTTTTCAATGAGATCTTAATAGTAGAGGAATAATCAGAGTAAAGTTTTTTTTTAGTTTATCAATATTAACAATTCAGTTCAACAAACTTTTTTGACAGTCTAAGCAAAGACTTAGGAGCCCTGGTGGTTCAGTGGTTAAAGCAGTAAGCTGCTAACTAAAAGGTCGATGGTTCGAACCCACCAGCCGCTCCACGGGAGAAAGATGTGGCAGTCAGCTTTGGTAAAGAGTGCAGCCTTGGAAACCCTATGGGACAGTTCTCCTCTTCCTAGAGGGGCACTATGAGTTGAATTTGACTTGATGGCAATGGGTTTTGTTTTGTTTTGGGTTTTAAGCACAGATTTTTTTTCTCAAGTTATACATATTAGATTTCACCTGTATAAAAAGAAGGCATAGAAAAAAGACTGGAAGGAACTATGACAAAAGGTTAAGAGTAGCTGTTTCCAGGTGCTGGGAAAAGTACTTCACTTCATACGTTTTCTACAATGAACACGGATGGCTATTTTAAAAATATTTCATTATCTAAGTAATACATGTACATTATAGAAAAATAAGAAAATATAGATAAGTAATAAAATCAGCATGTGGTATTTTAGTAGTAAGAGAAAAGTAAAAATGAAATCAAAGAATTAAAAAATGAGATGAAATAATAAAAGGCTCCTGGCTATGAAAAGGTTCAAATTTTAATACTTCACAGTTAGTAAAAATACCTCATTATTTACATAGAGCTTTGCAATTTACAGTCTTTTCTTATAATTTTACCAATCCTCAAATCAATCTAATGAACAGTGTTTAACAACGGTCATCTCTGCATAACGGGACGGGAGGTAATTTCTACTTTTCTGCTTTTTTTGGGGGAGGGAGCAGCATAACTGTATTTCTAAGTTTTCTACTGTGAACATATGTCATTTATGTAAGGAAAAAAATCAGTTAAGTTTTAGGAAAAATCTGTTATAATCAAAGATAAGGAAATGGAGGCTCACAGAACATATGCAATTTGCTACAAGGTGGAAGAGTCAGACTGAAACTCCCTCATATGTTTTCCCAAACCCATGGACTTCCCACCTAGACCCCTTTGGTGATGAAGACACCGTAAGACTCAGAAACACTCAAATTAAAACGCAGCTCTTGGGTCAAAATAAGATCAAAACGACTGCTATGTAGGAGGGATACAGATAATCCTCTTCTTTGGAGAAGTAGCTCATTTAATGCATTACAGCTGGAATTGTGTTAGGTTTCCTGAGAAAGTAACCTGAACTTGACCTCAGCCTCCTGAACTTCCCATACTGCACAACTATTTCTCAGGATAAAAAGGGCATTTTCCTCAGCTCATGTAAGGCAATAATTGAGCTAAAAAATTACAGGAACTCCTGAATTCGAATGCTGGTATTCAAAACACATGTTTAGCTGGTGGAATTAAAGCTCCATGGCCTCAGTTTTGTCAAGGACAATGCATGGTTTTTAACCCAACAGCCTTGGGTCTGGCTCACCTTTTGGTCTCCCATAGCAATTTATTTTCATACATGTATAAACTGAAAATTAAAATTCACCATTTTGGAAGCATAGGATACACTTGGTAGTCCCAAAACTCCCTTTCCTCCTCTAGCCATTTCCAACTCAAAGTAAGACAAGGCCACCAAAACATTCTTATAATACAGCACATTCCAAATATCAACCCCACCAGGAGTAAAACCTGCTTTTTTAGCAACAGATCTTTATACTTGCTCATGCTTCACAGCGTACTCTGCTGCACTGCTGGACTGGCGTGAGCGCCTTCCTTGTAGAGGGGCATGGTGTCTCTAATTAATCTGCCACATGTGCTCCTAGGCTGTGTCCCCCTTTGCTCCCTCAGTCCTTCTGCATGTCAGCTGGCATATTTCCAGAGAATGTCAGTAACTTTGACTCTATTCTAAATAAAATAAAGCCAGAGGTTTTCTGGGAAAAAATGCATGGTTCATTTTTTTAAGGAAAACATGAGTTTTGGTATTGATTACATTACTGGTTCCCTCCATCAACGTAGGAAACAGCAAGCCCTGCACTGATGAGGAGAGCCCTGGTGGCATAGTGGCTAACAGCTATGGCTGCTAACCAAAAGGCTGGCAGTACGAATCCATCAGCTGCTCCTTGGAAACCCTATGGGGCAGTTCTACTCTGTCCTATAGGACTGCTATGAGTCGGAATCGACTCGACGGCAACGGATTTGGTTTTTTGTTTTATGCACTGATGAGGACGATGGTGGTGGTGGTGACTGCCTGTGACAGGGAGACGTGAACAAGCACGCTTTGTGGAAGAAAATCCACAGCATCTTTGGCTCCTACATCATTTTGTAAGAAGATGCTTTTAGCAGCCTAGGGCAGAAGGGCTGGTTTGCAAATCACCACTTTGTATTTCTATTAAAGTGTCTATCTTCATATTAAAAATCTAATTAACATATTCACAGGTGAAAAAAAATACCG